AGATATCTTGCGCCGTACGTTGGGCACATCTGGGCCAGCCTGGACAATGATCTTACAGTTGTGATGTCCTCCTTCGCTCCACTTGTATTGTGTCGATGTCTGTAGACTTGTTCTTTAAGAACAATCGCTAATAGGCTGAAGGCCATTGCTATTAGGTTGGAGGATGTTGGAGGCCAATGCTATATTCTCCTTGCCTCTCCCAGTTCCGTTGCTTTGCGCAGCATAGCACGGTTCCTTGCAGCACGGTGCGCGAGCTTCACCCCCCTCACCAGCAAACATTCTAAAACAATCTAAAACATTCTTTGTGGGCCAAACGTTGCATAGCTTCTAGCCCGGAAATCTCAATGTCAACAGCTCAATCAGTTGCGGTGCAGCGGGGTGAGGAGAATCCGGGTCACTGGAAGCTACTGCACTGGAGGCCGCGGGACGGCGCCAGTTCCCAGTTTACATCCTTGTGCACCTGAACTTCATAACTTAAGAGACAAGTGGGCAGCATGACTTGAAGAAAGGTCAGACCCGTTTCCGCCTGAAAGGCTTGGGAATTGTGGGATCAATCTCCACATAGGGCTCTATACGCCTGACACGTCGGCCACTTGCAAGGGCCAACAACACAGCGGAATCGAAACATCACATCTCGGTGGCTTGGCAACAACGTCTGAAGCTTGCCTAGAAGTTCCAGTAGGCTGGTCATTTCGCCAAATCACCGATCTAGTAGCATATAATAGACATCGATCAATGACAAGAACTCTGTACTATCCTGCACTGTGATTTGACAAGTACTCTTCTGTGTTCACTCCCAACTTGAGAGCCACATGCAGCCGGTACGTGCATACCGTATTACCTGCTTCACTTGACTAGAGATCACACGAAGCACCGAAGCATCTACAACAATACCGACAGTCGGCGTCACAAGCCATGCTGGTGCCACCCAATGGTGATTTTGTGAAGTCGCGTGTCTCCAAACTCATCAACCTTCGCGCCGATACCTGCCACGCATGCCATCAATTGGGTAAGCCTTGTCAATATGTTCTTGCGCTGGAGACTCTTGAGCACGTGCAGTGAAATTAAGTTTGCTTTTGGACGCAGTATACAGTATATAAGTAAGACTGCAACAAACATAGATACACCAGAGCTGACTCTCCCTGGAACTAACATGGAAGTGGACAACCCGCAGTTTGCAAAGGAACATGTTCTTCCAAGGGGCCATTTTCCACTTCCATGTTAGTTCCAAGTTCCAGGGAGTGTAAGCATGCTAAGCAAGGCTGACATGCTGACATGCGCCAGTTCAGCCAAGAAACCATGTCTATACCTGGCACAACGGTTTGGCTTGCAGGCTTATTGTGTTATATAACTCATGTGAACTCCACCGGTATGCTTGGAGCAGGTCTTGAACAGGACATGCATAAAGCACTTGTAAAGTTGTTCGAAGCAAAAGCATGCGCCTAGTGATTCACACTTCCGCACAGGTGTTGCTGTTTAAAGTTTTGAAATGTAAAGCCGAAAATCAAGCGAGCAAATCGTAGCCTCATCTTGATGTAGCACATTACCTTGGCCTCAATATCTGTCCTCGTCTTCGTCCTGGATCAAGGTTGCTTGGCCAACACCACTGGTAGCCATTCGGATGTCCACTCGTGATGCGTCTTTACAGGTGGAAAAGAGGGACAACTGCCCATCTATGGTCCATATGTCCCCTTCATTTCATGCCGTGCTCGCCTTATCAGAGTGCCAAAAGGAAACTTGTGGCCTGTTCTGAATTTAATTGCTCCAACGGTCCAACTCTCTCCGCAGTGTGCTTCATAATTTGGAGGGTCATGTCCTGTTGGCTTACCAGCCCAACGAACAAATGTATGTCCAAGAAATGTGTCCAAGCCAAGGCCGACACCACTTGTCTTTATCCAAGCCCAGTCTTCGAAATGACCATAACAAAGCCTGCGAGTATGCGCATGGGGCCCAGTGAGATAGCCGCTTCTTATGTAGACGCCAGTTCCGTTCCAAGCATGACTGTGAGGTGACTTGGAGTCATTGGACATGTTGGATCAGGGGTGCCACAGCCCGCGCCACAGCCCAAAAAGTTACAAACTCCGAATACTCCTTCGACATGTTTGGCTAAAAGTCTGAGCGCGCGACATGAAGTTGATCTGGTTCCAGGAACCTGCATGGTTAAAAGACATGGACAGGGAAGAATAAGAATTTGAGCTATCACCTGTCATAGTCGCGAGAAAAACATTCTGCTCCAGCCCCATGGCTCTGAAAACATCTGGTGCCCATGGTCAGAGATCAGAGTCAACCGGAAACATGTGCGGCGCTTATGGCCATGCGACCGGCGCCTTATGACATAATTTTCAGGCTGCAGCCGATCCATGAGAATTTGCTGGAACCTGAGGAAGAGAGACACAACTCCACGTTCGAGGAACATCCCTCCAGCTTTGAACCAATTGGACACCCCTCAACAAGTATCGAAACATGACAGAAAACTACAAAGGCATACAGCGGCTGGCAGTGGGATAACAACCCTGGCGTCCAACCATTGGGTCATATCGGCATTTTTTGTGCCATGCGCATGGTCCCGACAACCCTTGCAGCTACAGCAATCCCTTCAGCACATCAAACTGAAGTGGGTCCTGAAAAAAAAGGAGGTTTCAAGTTTCAAGGAGCTTTTCCGTCCTTTTTTTCATATGCATGAAATGTGTTTTAGACCTGCTATTCTGCTCTGAGCAGCGGAGCAAGCAATCGCGCGGCCCGATTTCTCCTAAATCGATGGTGTCTCAAAAAAATGTCTCAAATGATCTCACACACCTTCTTTATCCTGCTTTGGAGCAACTCCGTGATGCAATAACATTTGATGTGGTTCCTATTTGGTGGCATTCCAATTTCCACGAGTTGCCCATTGCAAGACAGAACTGTCTAGCTCGAGAAGCTCACCCAAACATGCCAGTGCTGAGGGCAGTGCTTTTCGTGATGAAAGTCCAGCTTCGCAAACGCCTCAGCTTGGCCCAATGGGTATGTACAACTCAAATGAGAGAAATTAAGCTCTATGCAATGTCTGCAGGCTTAATGACTTTTATAACGGATGTCTATGTCAAACTATCCGGGTCAAACCACATGGAAGCTAGGGCAGCTGGCAAGTAGTAAGGATGCTTTGTGGAATTTAGTCTGCTGAATATGGTTTGGTAACCTTGCCTGTCCGACCGCTGAGCATGCAAGTGTCAGAACAAAAAGAAACCACGAGTCCAGCAACCTACAGGAAATCACGCAGGAGATGACACAAACGACCAATCTCATCGACTTGGACAAATGGGAGCTCTACCCAGAAAAACATAGAAAAGCTCATTCGCACCCCTTTGGGCTACGCCAACTGCAACTGTCTGAGCTCCAGTACCCAAGTGATCCGTGCAATGTGTCTGGCAAAGTGATTGGCGCGCACTTGTGCATGCCTAGCCTAAGAGCCGGCAAACAAGCCACACATTGGACAGAAACAAGGTACCAGTATTGACTATGCCTTGTGGCCTTTGTGCGAAACAACATATGACAAGCTCACTTGGTGCATCCACCTTTCCATGCCCTCAATTCCTACTCTTGCAACCAATTTGCCGATTGTAAAATTGTGCTCCCCAAAAAGTCCTTCCATGTTGGGGCCAGGATCCTTCCTGGGGTCTTATACAAGCAAACCCAAAAAAATCAGAAGCTAGTTACCCCGATCTGTTCAGACAGAAATTGTATATATATATATACATACATTTTTTAGATCTTTTGGAACTGTTTCAGGAACTTACAAACACCTACTTGTTGTATTGATTTCCCTCCAAGGCAAGGGCCACAAAGCTATCGGCTGCAATGGTCAAAAGATCCTGGCATCTTGCAAAAGGCTACTCGCGCACCAAACCGTTTCTTTTCGGCGCAAACCTGAGGCAAACCTGTACTTGCGAAAATCATTTGTATCTTGGGGGGATCAGAAGGCCAGCACTGATAACGAGCTCAGTGCACCGACCTCACGCTATGACACGTCCATAAAGGTGTGGGACCTGGTGCCTGGCTACAATCGCGATCAGTATAGCTTATAGTTGAAACATGTTGAAACAAGTCGCAAGTGTAGATTACAAACACTTATATAAGAGGAAAACGGAGGCTCTCTAATTAGCCCTCTGAAGGCTTGTACAATACGGCGGCGGCAAGAACCAACAGGGGCAAGAACCAACATCGGAAATCGCCAATATTCTCCAATTCTACTTGGTTTGCCTAAGCATTGGCCGCTTCCCAACACATGGTACCACAATGGCGAAGGTTCGGATGTTCAGGAGCACTCAGGAGGCCTATGGGCATCCACCACCAACAAGGCAGCACCAAACGGCGCAGCATGTCAACGTGAATTCAAAAGGTCGACACAGCACAACCTTGGAGTCATCTAGAGGACAGTAAGTACTTGACTAAATGCGTTCTTTCGAAGTATAGCTGCTGCATGTTGTTCAAAATTCCCCAAAAGTCTGCTCCAATTGATATGTTTCGGCTGCAGCTTCCCGAATCACCTTTCTCACGCACTTAAAATTTGCATCTCTGTGAGTCTTTTCTGTGTGCAACTATATTCTGTACAGGTATATAGAATCAGAAAGAGTGTCAAAAAAAGGCCTGGCGCCGCCAAAATTGAAAGTCCAGGCATAGAACGGCCCACGCTTTGTCGTTGCGGCTGCCATTTTTTTCAGTGTTCGGTGCCCAAGCAGTGTGCAATAGTGTGCAACCAGCAATTGGAACCAACTCAGACTATATTCCAACTAGCATTTGGATGCATCAATTTGGTTGATCTTTGTACTGAAGATTTGAGTATCTTGATGAGGTTTTTCGCGGGTTAGTTGTTTCCTTTTTGAACATCAATGACAATGCACAAGGCCCAGAATTCAAGAGCGACAACATTCAGATGGGATGCAAAGCCTGTGTAAATACTTGTTTTAGCAAATCGAGCAAACCTCCTCTCACTGGCTCCAACTGCTGAGCAGGCTGAGCGCATCTCAAAGCTTCTTGATCTCCTCCACCTCAGCAGCCACACGACGGTAGCCTCGAATCTGGAGAGAGGGTTCTTGTGATTTGAGCTCCTGGTCTGGAATAGCTGCCAGCTGCGAGCCTGAATTCCTCGGTTGAGCAAGCTGCCGAGATACCAAACTAGACCCTTCGTCGCTAGTAACTAGTAAAACACCTTCATCTGTGCTGAGACTTTCTTGGGGGAAACCTCATTGCAAAATGTCCATGTCCAAGTTTATTCGACTGCTTTTGCGACAATAGCTTGACCATGGGTTCTTCTGCGCAGCTTTCATTCACACACCAGCATCTAAGCACAGGCATCGGGAGTTGCAAACCATTGTGGTGAAAGGTTAGCCTCTGGACAACTAGCAAAGCCGGCAGGCTTTACCCAGTGATTCCACACAATCTTTCCAACAAAAATCACATCCATCCCCACAAACAACAACTCTTACCACAACAGATCTGACCGCTTCCGCTTGATTCATGGACCTCACCGTCACCAACCTCAAAACAAACCTTACAGCATCTCACTACTAGTACCACCTGCGCCAGGGAGTCACAAAGAGATGTGTCTGACCTCTACTAGACTAGACACACTGGTCTGCAAAGGAGCCCCACATGCAATTGGAACACCATTCAGCAATCGGAATAGACAACTACTACGCCTTGAAATGGTGGTGGGCCCTTAGGATTCCCTCGCGAATCGGTGAGCAAGAAGCTACCAGGGGCGCTCCTGGCCATACGTATTACTACTAGGAGCAAGAAGCTACGAACGTGACAAAGGGCATCGCTACGAACGGGAAGTGTCGAGGCTCTTCACCACCTTGCTTCCTAGCTCACCATCGGCCAAAAGCCTCAGGGCTCCATCCAGGTCCAGGTCATTCAATGTCACGTTGCCATCAATGAGAAGCTCTGACTTTTGGGAGATGCTGACCTCAAGGCGATGAAGTACGATTGAGGGCAATCGTAAAGGTGTGAAAATGCACCAAACCCACACAATAAGGGACCATGTCCCCATCTGGTTAACTTTCCCCACAATCTAGGAAGCTTCCTTGAAGACGCGTGAACTATCCTGCGTCCAGTTACTGGAAGCCAAATAATTAATAGCTATATAGTAACTTACTTCCTTACTTAATCAATCAAGTAGGCACCTACTGTCTACTTAATTAAGTAAGGAGGCCCTGGGCTTCAATAAGAACGGAGATGTGGCTCCATTCACTGACAAGCGACCTTACCTTTGATCTTTGTCTTCATATCCTTGGCCATGCTTGGATGACGAGGTATTCCGTGGCATTTGAGGGAACGGGCGATGCGGCGATGTATGTGGTCGATGCATGTCATGTGCTGTTTCCTTCCGGTAATTTCACTGATGTTTTTGATACTGATACTGAGACACAGACCTTTCCTGATGCAGCTCCATCTTTGAACCAAGAACTCTTGCAAGGCATCACTGAGCAATATATTTTGAGCATCCCCTTTGATATTAGCACAGAGGGGTCGTTCCACCCATTCTCTAGAGAATCATCTAGAAAATGAGGGGGCTTGACACCTGCTGCCTCTAGAAAATGTCCATGAAAATTCTGTTCATTTTCTAGTGGGAGAAACGTTTTCACTAGAAAATGGTGGGGTACAGGTTCAGAGGTCGTACCCCCAACAGACTAGACTTGCTCTTTCAATCAGCAGAATGAGTGCTATACTCACTGGTGCTTGTTTTTTTTTTTCAACTTGTTGATCTCTAGAAAATGCTCCTCTAAAACCCCTATCCAGGCTCTAGAAAATGACCCTAGAAAATTTGTGGTCATTCTCTAGTGAGGTACCTCTCCTCTAGAAAATGGTGGGGTACAACCTTGGAGGTCGTACCCCCGCATCAGTTTTCTAGAAAATGACCTTGTTCTAGGGGACCACGACCCCCCCCCATTTTCTAGAGGAAATACCAACAGGGATTTTTGAGCTGTGTTGAGCTGCTTACTGCTTACCTATTTTTGGCATCCACCGTCCACCGTTGGATTTACAAAGCTGAATTGCACCAGGCCAAAAAAAAACCTCGTGGTCTGACTTGGCCCAAAAAGCACTCAAGTTCTAAGTCAAAGAAAGGCTCTTCCAAAGATATTCCAAAACTTGGTGCCAGAATGATGCGAGCTCCAATGCTTGCTGTGATGCCTAAGAAGCTGACATCCTTGGGCTGGGCGATTTTGACCTTTCCTTAGCACCGCCAGTGTGCAATCTGCCAGGCCCAAACATACCTCCAAATTATCCCAAACAGTGCGAGCTCAAGCGCTCGGAGATTTTTGCGACAATGACATTGCCCATTTCAATTGGCGGGGCGAATGCAGCTAAAACCAGCGGAAAGGAACTACTCAAAGATTTAAAGGGTCCTTCACCCGCAAGCTCAAGCAAACGAGCGTTGCAGGCATAAATGTCCGCCTCTGCTGAAAGTGCGCAGTCTGGAGGGTTTTTCTTGGCCGCATCGGCCAAGTTGTTCTTGACACCTGGAGGCAGCATTCTTAGAGAAGCATGGAGGCGGAGAAGCAACAAAAATCTCGAAAACCGACGTCGTGTTCGTGTGTTCCTTTTGGAGTGGCCGGCCACTGAATCCGAGGAAACTGACTCGGTACCATTGTAGAGGCTTAAATGGAACTGTTGCAAGTTCAACGCGTATTTCCAAGCCGAGTGGGCTTAAAATTTGTGCATTTATCGTTCTAGGAGTTCGACTTGGCCTCACGAAAAGAACCGTTGAAAACGCAAAGCACTTTCGGGCAGCACTTGGGCAAAAATGGTTTTGCTATAGTTTTGCTGTTTAGGTTGTCGGTTTAGTTCTCATCAGTCCCGGTTCAAGTCCGACATGTTCATCGGGTTGTTTGAATGTTGCTGAGCTGAGAGCGAATCGTTGTTACATGGTTCCTGTTGATCCATCTCAATCGGAATGGACGTACGTGGAGATCAAAAGAAAACATTATAACATGAGCTCTAAAATGTTAAAACCAAACATGATGTTGTGACACAAATGCTCATGTTGTGAAACAGGTGGCAATGTTTCAGGCATTCCCACCAACACTCCCATACCCCAATTTCAACATCATGTTCTCGCTCGATGGCAATGATGCGAAGCTGATGACAATGATGGTGATGATCGTGATGATGTGTGAGAGAGTGCTAAAGGGCTACTGCAAGCTAATGCGAATCTGTGCCGTAGGCATAAGTATGCATAAATAAATCAACAGGGCAAGCAGTCATTGAGCGGTGGTCAAAACCCTTTGGTCTTGGCCTTATAATCTTTCTTTGCTCACGCGGCCGCTTCTGCAATGCTTACGCCTTACGCTACGAAGGTTTTTGCTTACGTGGTGCTGTTTTTTTCTTTTAGGGCTTAGACGGTTCTTTCTATCAGTCATGGGGACAAAAGCAGGTGGAGCGAGGGTGAAAGTGCGCTATGTGCTTGAAGCGTGCCTTTCTCATGCAGCTGAATGCTTTGGTTTCTTGAGAAATATCTTTTTTGGACCGGGGCAAAGAGCTTCATACGAGAAGTTCGCCTACGCAAACCTTACGAATCGGCTTACGCCGGGCTTACGCGGAATTCGTGTGGTCGTAGGCCACCCAACCCTTGCAAACATGGCCTTTGAGAGATTGAGTCCCCAACCCTTTTCTGCTAGCAGTGTTTCTCAGCCAAAAACTATTTATATAGTTATATACACAAATATACAGTAAACTGGCAGTGCAAGTAGAAGACTCAAAACTGCTTGCGCACCTCTTACGCATCGCGTGTCCTACTAGTAACCTGGGCTTCCACCAAACCTTACGCAACCCTTACGCCGTGCAGACTTCAGCTTATGCGACAGTCTTGCAGTTTAATCGGATCATGTGGTCCTTTCATAGAGGTTTTGAATGCTGCTCAATTGAACTCTCGGAGCCAAGGTACAAGTGAAGCTCATGAGTCTCTCCAATTGGGTAAACCCCACTTGGTCTTCCTTCTTGCAAAGCCTAGGGAAGTCTTGCATCATGCACTCCAAACGGGTGGGAGACTTGAATTTGCTCTTCTCCGCATCTGCCCACTTGGGATTGACGAACTCTGGGACGATACCACCTGTGGATTCCAGCCGCTCTGCCATGTCGGGCACGCGGAAGACCAACACATTGATATTTCCGGGATATGGAGAAAATCCGCTGGCATCTGCTACATCACCTCCGGCAGGAGTGGTCTTCAACAAGGGATCCAGCTGGTTGTACTCCACATTGATGGTCATGCCTGGGGAGGCAGGTTCCAGCAACATAACACATGTCTTCAAAATTTATAATGCACCGCATATCTGAGCTTAAAGAGATTTAGACTCAAAAATAGTCTCCGAATTGCCTAGTCCTTTAATCACTTTACTTTCATTACTGTATGTAATATCCTTCCAATGATGTATTGTATGCTGTGACAGTCTGCCTTCGCCAGAGGCGTCCTTGAGCTTGCAAATTCCGCCGACTGCTTCGGCAGGCAAACGTGGTACAGTCACAGAATTCATGACAAAGTTGCGCGCTGCTGACACCCCAAGAATTGCGCACAAGCTTCGGAAGGGCAATGGGTTGGTGTCTTGGAAAAGCAAAAGCCACTCTCTGCCCTCGCTGGCCCACTTTCTTGGGAGCCCATGCTGGTGAAGCAAAGCATGCACGTCTCCTGATTGTGTACGCTGGAGGAGGTCATACCAATTGATGATGCAAATGAAAGGCAAAACTCATTCAGGTCCGGGCTTGTCACTTAATGCCTACTAGGAGGAAGGACGCTACTAGTAGCTCCTGGCCCCACAACTAGGAGCAAAAAAAAGACTAGTAACAAAGGGCATCGCTACGAACGGAGCAAGGACGCTACTACTCTTTAAGGGGTGGACCAGTGGAGGCAGACTCACACTCTAATCCCTTCGCTAGGTTCTTGCAGCAAGCGTCCATGGCCATGGGGCTTTTTCTCCACCTGACCATCTTTAACAGCAATGCGAGCATCTATATCCATCAAAGCAGGGACAAGCTCCTGCTTCATGATAGTCACTTGACTTTTGCCTGAGGCCAGCCACGGGTGGTCTCAATGCTGCAACCAATTCACAAGAGAGGTATTGCAATCGTTGTTGTTGAATCTACCGTGCCTATCAGCTGTTTTCTCTTTGAATCGTTCATATTCAAATATTTTGGTTTTGTTACGATGAAGGGGCTGTGGTATGACAAAAAAAAAGGTAACATTCCGACCATCCCGAAATCTCCCCATCTAAAAACGTTAAAGCCCTCTTGAAGATTCTCAATCTTGGGCTAGGTGGTAAAGGTGTCAAGTCTCAATACACAACACAAACAACGCCAAGAGGACCTACATAGCACCTAGAGGACCTAGCTCTGCCTCGCCATAGCACTGTAACAATTCTGTCCCCTCTTCATACGGGGCCTAGTTGCTCAAACCAAAATAGGAGTTTGCCTCCAATAGCTCCAGGGTCTTGGCGTTAGTATCACCTGAGGTCATGATGGCCAAAGGCAGCTCCAAGGATGAGTTTCCAGAGGCCTGACGAGCATAGCTTTGAAAAGCTAGGATATACTTGGCGTAGAGCTCCATGAAGGTCATCCTATGGCACTTCAAGGTCGTCCACAGCGCCACGGCAGAACATGCAAAAAGATCAAAAAGGACGAAAGGACGATGAATGATTACGTCGCAATTTTGGGAATTTATCTTTATCCAACACCTTGAAACACCACAAAGGTTGATGTTGCTGGCATAGTATCCCGGAGGTCAACTCGGCCGTGATGCCAATCTTGATTCCTGGATAACCCAGGCGCTCCCCCAAGCCTCCTGCAACAAGGCAAAAGCAAGTCTTGCTGAGCTGCTCCATGCCTTTCTTCTCAAAATCTGCGTATGTCCTTGGTTGAATGGGAAAAGCAAAGAACACAATGATAATAGTAGAAGGGAAAGAACAGTATACTTCTCCCCTGTTAGGACATCATTGATGTCCCATGTTGCATCATGGTTGATGCCGCGGATCTTAGAGCCTGGTCCAGTTTCTCCAGTGAGGCGTTCGCCCATGGGAACCTCTGGCGTCAGCCCTTCAAAGGGATTCTTGCCAGCTTTGGCATCTGCTAAAAGTCCTGCACCCGGCGTAGGACTAAAACACCCCCGACAAACATTGTGGCACAAAAATATCACAACATGCACCAGTTACTGTATTCGATTCGGAATATATATATATATATACAATATAGAGAAAAACACATAAACACATATCCAGCTGTGGTTGCTAAATTTTTAAATGTGTGAGCTGGATCTACTTCCTCTCCGAACTTTTTTGCGAAAAGTCGAAAAGTTGCGAAACGTCGAAAAGTCAAAAATTCAAAAAAGTCGAAAAGTGCACGAAAAGGGAACGGTGATAAAAAGAGTCACCTGCCAAAAGGTCCCGGGGCTTGCCGGGTCCTTTTGGCGGGCGTCTCCTTTTGAAGGTCATCGGGGCTGCGTGTGTTGAACTCCAGATCCTCTCTCTGTGTGCAGGAGCAAAAGCAATGTTTGGATCAATTCTGAGACTTTTGTTGAAGGGCACGGCATGTGACAGGTGTCCAAAAATCTCGAAAAGTCGAAAAGTCTCGAAAAGTCAAAAAGTATCGAAAAGTCGAACAGTCTCGCTACGTGCTTTCGTTTGCTTTACCTTTTTGACTTCTTGACTTTTCTCACTTTTTGACTTTTTTGCGTTTTGCTTGGTGTCTTGCAAATAGATCGTCGCTAAAGGATTAGCGAGCTTAGCATATATAAACACCCACTAATTACTGCAAATGTCCAAAGTCAGAAGACTGATTTCGCAACTGCGTCCTCGCGCCCTTTGGAGATACCCCGCCAACCCACCACCTGGGAGCTTCGCGTCCATATCGCTCAGGTCTGCTACGATGGCTTGCTTCTGCTCGTCGGTCAAACCCTCAAACATGTGTCCCTGAAGGAGGGCCAAAAAGTTCGAACAGGTTTGATGCTTCCTTGGCGTCTAGGTATGGTTTGTACATGTCTGTGCACTTCATTACGCTTCCCTCTTGGTAAGACTTGAGGCCAGAGGGGGTGAACGAAAGCTAGCCGGGCTTCCGGTGGTCTGCTGCTGGTGCTGCTGCTGCTGGTGCTGCTGCTGCCGCTGCTGCGCTGGGCGCTGCTGCGCTGGGTGCTCTGCAGGCGCCGGGTCGTCTGCTGCTGCTGCTGCTGCTGGCGCTGGGTGGTCTGCTGCGGCTGCTGCTGCCGCGGCGTTGGGTATGCTGCTGCTGCTGCTGCCGCCGCTGGGTGGTCTGCTGCTGCTGCTGGTGCTGCTGCTGCTGCTGCCGCTGCTGCGCTGGGCGCTGCAGATGCTTGGTGTGCTGCAGCTGCTTGGTGGTCCCGCTCACCGCGCGCAGGGGGGAGTCGAACCGCGGGGGGGGGGGGGTCCATAAGATTGATTTAATCAATTATTTGAGGTTTCTGAGGTGCGTCCACCCCGTCACTTAACTTGCTAAAGCAAGAGCAACTCCAGCTAGCTAAGGCTAGCTTTCGTGACAATCAATGTCATTCGTGCCTGGTAGTAGGGCCCATCGAATAGCGCTTCGACTGACAGGCTCTTGCTAAAGAGTGCACCCATGGCAACGCGCGAAGGTGCAACGCTCCCAGTCTTGGACGAGAAACCCTGTTGTCAAGTGTCAGGAATAGCACACAATGCCAAGGCTCAATGGCAAGCCTTTGGCAGTGGATCGGGTCAAACGACGGGGTGCATGATGGCAACGAGTGGAACTGAACGAAGCGGGAAGTGACTGCAGCAAGTCAGTAAAGGCCACAAACAAGACACCGGCCACAGTGAACGACGGATTGCGGCTTGCATCGTTTGCCAGCCTCGTCATTGAATTTGAGGGCTGCCATGCCCCACAAAGCAATAGACCTCCACTGACCCTCTCAGTTTCCTTTGAACATGCAGGTTTTCACCTTTTTCCACGTGGACTTGCGTGGGGCCACCAATCCCCCCAAGAAGGTTACGGCTTGTCAACGGGTAGGTCCATGCTTTTAGACTCTGGCATGGCGAAACTTTATGAAAGCTTGGGCTCCACATCGCGGCAAATGGAATGTTTGCAAATGAAACAAATGATAAAACATGTGTGATATTAATAATGCGTGTTTGTACGATTTTGCACGAAACCCTCCTCACTACCAAACAAGATCTTGGATGTCTTGCGTGTCTGCCAAGGAGCAGGTCTCCCATCTTGAGATCGCCAAGTGCAACACCAATCTGTCCCAGGAATGCAAGTAAAGAAGCAAACCAAGAACACAGTATACAATATAGCAGCTTCAAAGAATTGAGTAGGGCTTCATTAAATTCCTTTTATATGATTGCAAGCACGTTGCTCGGGCCAGATTGTGTACCAGTGTTGCACATAGCAAATCCTCAAAAGCGATGAAGCCTTTAGCAAAAAAAACATGTCGAAGATCTCCTATGCATTGTCGAAACCAGGTAGATGGACCAAACAGGACGTTGATTCCGAGCCTCGGTCCTGATCCGCTGCAGGCTGCCTATCAACCGCAAAGAACAAGCAAGGACTAAACATACGATAACATAAGTATCGTTTTCTATCCCAAAGTTTGGCTATTGCACAAAAGGACGCAGTTAGGACGTAATATCAACCATGTCCTTGCAAAACCTCTTTGTGACTTCTTGGGCGTGTTTAAGAGGCTTACGGCTGCATTGCCTGATTCGAACAAGCAAAGGCAGGATGGCAGCTGGGGTGGCATGCCCTGGAGGCATGCAGCACATGCCCGAGGAAAAGAAGCTGTTTGGGCCCCTCTAACAAGGCTCCTTTAAGGGGTGGGTTATTGAGGGGGCCCAAACACCTTCCCCTTTGTTCCCTCTCTATATCAAATACTATTTGTGTGTGTGTGGGTGCTGAACTCTTTTATTTTTTCCCAAGTAATGTGGCCTTGGCTCTGTCGACCACCTGGATCTGTCCATCCGAGGGCCCACAAGCAGCCAGCGATCTGCTGTGGCATCCTGCGACGGGTGTTCTGTATAGTTTGGAAGGACCGAGGTTAAAAGTGAAAATGGGTTCCATCAACAAATCATGATTTTGTGCATCAGGTTGTCAGCTGGATGGCTATCCACCCTTCCAAATACAAGAGGCCTTACAGTACATAGCCTTAGGGATGAACAGCTCTCAGTATTCTCGAAGTCGTCTCGGAAATCTACCTTGTTCATCTGGCCCCCGCGAACGGTAAGAGACAGTAAGAGTCAAGCAGCCTGGCAACTCAACCTTTTGGCAGGATAAGCTAGCAATATATGTGGCAACATATCTTTAAGGTACCAATAAAGCTTTAACATCATTCATCAAATGGGTTGTCAGGCACCAATGATGCAGTTACCCTTTTTTTTGCCAATCTGCAATCTTGCTGTGCATGATGGGCACACGTGGGAACCCAAGCGGTCATATCTTTTGCAACGCTCTCCATCGACTCCATGATTGCAGGTATGAGCTTTTTGGCTTCTTGGTGCGCACAAGTCTCCTGATGGAAGGGCATGGCACCAACATCCACCGGGTTGGATTGGATCAAATGATCAAGCCTAAATTTGGTTAAGCATGGCTAAAGAGGCTGGGTAGCTCTGAACTCAAGCGGACATGTTTAGGGTATCCTATGTTTCTGTTGCAGTCCCGTCGTTGAAATGACAATTCTGATAAACATATCATAACATATCTGTTTGTACTGTACATGTATGTGGGCACACTTGTTGTAGTTGGGAAGCATACCTCCATCCACAAGAAGGCCATGGAATTCCTGCTAGGTTAAGCTGAACTCGGATCTGACTGAAACTTGCTAACTACTATGTGGCACCCCTAGCTTCACTCAAACAAGACCCGTACAACCGCAAAAGCAATATGCTTTAACAGTAAAACAAGCAACATCGTCATCTCCTGTCATTTGTCGCTCACATGTCTTTTTCCATCCGGCCTGCAACATGGCTACGGAGTAGAGCAAAGAATACCTCTGCCACCGCACGGGGATCACTGCAGTGGAGAATCGAATGTGGAACACCGCTTTGCGGTCTGCACCGCTTCTGAGGAAAAGCAACTCCACGGAGTGTTCTAAATGGTCTAAGCAATGCAACCGTTTGAATGGCAAGCAACCGTTTAAATGGTCATAGTCCAAAATCATCAAAACACATGCAATTGACTTCTGTGAAACGCAGACCCAGTGAAAGCTCAAGTTGCACGAAAGCCAAGCAGCGTGTTGTGCGAACTCATCCTTGGCCTCCTCTCGATTTCTTCCACCACAGAGGCTACGAGTGCCTGACGACAAGAGATGACAAGAGACAAAGGACTACTACAGAGTCACCTTCGAACCACATGAAATGGTGCGCAAGCTTTCCCGCATCCTACCTAGATCTACCTAGTAGCTTCCTAGCTACTAACTACTTACGAGTACCAGTACCACTTACTACTAGCTACATAGGCCTACTAGCGGCCTAACCCCCCGAGTATCAAATGAAGAAAAACAACTGTATTGTCATCTACAGTAAGGGTTGGATGTCGTTAGGTTCACTGCCGTGCCTTGAGGAGTTCATCGGGAAGAACTCGGGTCAGTGCCAAGGAATGCAAAAGATCACACAAGTCCTTCGAGTACAAACATACCCTTCACTTGTCACAGTCATGGCACCTGAAAACCGTTGAACTAGAATCACGAAGGGCATGTAATTTGGAAAAAACACTGTTTGAACGGCTTGGAAAACCTGTTCCGAGCCCTGCGGCATTCATGTCCTGCACTGGGAGATTTTGAAAGGAAGCTCTGGAAAGCTGGTTCGCGAGGAAAGCGGTAAGTGGTGCCACGTTCAGCTTCATTGCCTTGGGACTGGGATGCCCAATGAAAAGACACTTCCATTGCAATCACTAAAGTGGTGCATGCCATGTTTTCCGACAGCAGTACGGCCCTCAGGTTCACGGCGCACGGTTTGTTCAAGGCTTTTAAGAAGCAGGCGTGGAATTGTGAGCGAAGTGTGGTGGCCGAGAACAAGCTGCTGATGGTCTCCTCTCGGCACAAGCCAGAATCTGCACCCGAACCCGAAGTCCGAGCATTTGCACAGAAGAGTGTAGAAATGAAAAGCATGTAAATGTAACCTGTCACTCGGACACTGGTTGCGGAGAGCAAGGGGACCGAGTGGAGGCTCGAAACTCACGAAGTTTCCGGGCTCGAACAAGTTCGGACGGCACACGAAGTCGCGCCCTTTTACGGGGCCATTGGCGTCAGATCGATCGCCCACCGCTAGTGGTGGAAACATGGGACATTCGGGCCGTGATGGCCGCACATGAAACATATGAAACATCCATACTGTCAAGTGGCTTGAATTGCCAACTGCAAATTCACACCGGTAAAAGGTGTATGAACAGAAAAATCATCAGCTTCAAACTTCAATCGATCATCCATTCCTCATATGGCAGGTTGCCATAGTCTCGCCTCCAGGACATCATGTCCTCCTGCAGTGTGGTGCCGCTCAGGCCATTGACTCGATGAGGAGTCTGAGGAGTAGGGTTGCAAAAAGCGCAACAAGGACGTCGATCAACACGGTGAGCCTGCTTTAGGCCATGGCAATCAGCTCGGACGTGGAAGGTGTGACCGAAGGGTGTCACGTGGGTGCCCATGGTGAGAGGGCAATCTTCATCAAAGTGGTCCAGGAGTTCCCGGTAGCAGCGCGACAGCAAAGCTTGGCATTGTCGAAAGGACTGATCAATTTCTTCGGCTTCTTGCTGTTCTAGGCGCCATTGTTCCATCATCTCGTTGTGATGCCTGCGGGTTTCCGCATTGGCCTCAGCAGCTTTCACCGCTGTGAAATGCGGCGGTCGAAGCGTAGGCTTTGGTCATCCAAAGCACTGTGGAAGTGTCGCGAATTGCGAGCTTGTGCCACCCTCAACTTGACCTTCAGGTCGTTCACCTGACGGC